GAGTGGAGTCTCACTCTGTCGCCCAGACTGGAGTGCAGTGGCTGCTCCCGGCCACCGCAGCCTCGACCTGCTGGGCTCAGGCGATCCTTCCGCCTCAGCCTTCCAAGTAGGTGGAACTACAGGTGTGCGCTACCAAGCCCGGCTAATTTTTTTTTTTTATTGTAGAGATGAGGTCTTGCCTGCCCAGGCGGGTCTCGAACTCACAGGCTCAGGCAATCCACTCACCTCAGCCTCCCAAAGGCGCAGGATTACAGGCTGATGTATATGCATATACATATATATATATATATATACACATATACACATGTTTTTGTTTTTGCCTATCAGTGAGGGTTTAACCAGAAAAACTGAACCACTAAGAGATTTCTACATATACATGTAATGAGTTTTGTTATGGAACTTTGGCCTTACACAATTACGGAAGCTGATGCTGGAACTTGAAGTTTATGGGGCAAGTATTCATCCAATTTATGGCGCTGTTTCTCCCATAGCTAGGATTCGTGGAGACAGAAATAAAGAGGTGGAAATAGGAATGAGTCCTCTCCGTATAATCTCGATAGCTATAATCCACTAGCAAAACTTTTGCTTCCTGTCCCTGTACTTTTAGAGGTCTTCGTTTCAAAGGGAGGAATTCTCTACCAGGTGACACATAAATCATTCCATTTACTAAGAGTTAAGATTGCTACCCTGCCACTTTGGGAGCCTCATAGCATTGAATTAACATGAAAAGAAGGTTACTCTACTGGCTGTAAACTGAGTTACTACTACTCCATGGGGATTCGGAGGAGCACATCTGGAATCAGGATATTTTCTAGGGTGATTCTTTGTATTCCCATGTTCTATGATGTAAGTCAATAGAAAACTACAAGCCAATTCAAACAAGACTGTTGGTTGGCCAGATCCTTCAGGAATAAATGTTTGGGTCACCTGACCAGACAAGGAACCATGATCAATTTTGGACAAAGGGAATATGGAATGGGTAGTGAAAGAAGGTGTTATAAATATCAGTTGTAATCATTTAAGCAGCTGCAGACACAAAAATGGTAATAGTCATGGGCATTTCTTCCCGTGTGTGTGTGTATATAGTATTTTTGCTTTCTTCCCCTCTGTCATGCCCTTATCTAATATAAGATGTGGTAATAATAGTTAACTTCATACCCCAGTATTTAAGTCATAAGGTGTGAAGGGGGGATGTATAAATCAGACAGGAGTAGCATGAGTTTCACTCAGAGACAAAAAGAAGATTTTGTATCATCTTACGAGGAAAAAATTGGTGTGTTTTACAGTCTCCTCTTGGAAAAAGGTTACATGTTTTTGGTTGTACATGGGATAGTTGTATCAGGTTAGATGTAAGAATAACTTTGGCATTGTCTTTGTTTGGAGATTAAGTATGGTTAAAGTGATGCAAATGGGTACCAAGTTGACACATAACAAAGCTACCATACTGAAAACAAACATATACTCTGGATACACATGGGAGACTTCAAGTTATGAAGCAGGCTAATAAAACTGGAATTATAACATCTTATCAGCAAAATTTCCCAATCTACTCTTTATCCAATTTTATATGGATCAAAATAAGAACTTCATCTCCATCGAAATGACTCAAAAAAGGCTTAATTAATCCCCCAAATATCCATTCTATGCTTTTTGTGTTTTTCCTCCTAAACATTTCCCTAGACCGTCACGCACTGCAGATTATCTACTTACTTTGTAAAGCAGAGAACTCAGAGCTAAATGCAGTGTTCAAAGTATAACTAGATCAGTAAGAAAGACGTCACATCTTCATCTCTTCCCCTACTACCCCAGCCTAGGGTCTCATCTTTCCGGCTGCCACCTCAACACAGTCATTTCACACTCAAATTCTTGCAGACGAAAAGCTCAACTTCCCCCATGCTCCTCCTGATCACACCAACCCTAATAAAGATATCCACACGCTTCCCTTTTACTCAAGTAATCATAAACTCCTCTTGCTCTCCTCATTAGTGACCATCTTTCTCTGTAAATCTCCATCATGGAAGTTTTTAATTATCTGATTCATGTCTCTCTTCCTCCCTTATTTGCAACCCTTGGGTGACAGTTTTCTCTGCCTTCTTAGGAAGCTTTCCTCATGGACTTGCCAAATATTACCCTCCAACTTAAGGAATAAGATGATAATGCCCGAGTTTCTAATAAAGGTTTCCTGGATACCTCAGCCCCAACATTATCTTGCCTGGAACTTCCTCTGCAGAGACTTGTGGGCAGACAAGTATAGACACGACATGAAGAGAGCAAGACAGGCCCACAATGACCCACAAGTTGGCTACTGATAATCAAAACAAGCCTTTTCTGAGGTGCTCATCAGACTTCTTTTTCTAAGCCTGGATATCTCAATTTATTGACGGAATGGCATAGAAGAAAGTGCCCTGACACAGTCATCATTGTTTGCACTAATTATTCTAGTGACAGAGAATCACCAAAAGCAACAGGACGTGCGTGGTCAGATTTTGAGCTCCATCAGCACACATCAGGACATATTAAGTAAATTAACTTTTTTAGCCTCTACTAGTTGGGTCTTTGAATATTGCATATAAATCTTCTGACTCCATATATATATTTGAGAACCAACCCTCCATCCCAATATGAGAGTGTGGACAATAGGAATTTCCATTAATGTTACTTTATTAAGAAAGTAAACCTAATACCAGCTTAATCATCAGTGAGTCAAAAGAAAACCTGTTTAAGTTTTCTGTTGTTTTGGATCACTGTTTACTTTACTTAATAACATGTAGGTTTGACTTATGCAGTCATAAGCCTTGCAGGAGTTTCCTGACTGCATAAATGTTTCCTCAAGAGTAACCACAGGGATTAGAATGAGGGCATAATTGGTCTGACATGAGTCAATCATGAAGGAAGAGGAGCATCATCTGTGGAAAATAAAACATCCCCCTAACCCAGAGGACCTGTGATGTTAGCCAAGGCAATTTAACCACACTAAATAGATGGCATCAGGGATTCCAACCCAAAGGACACATCTTGGATCCCTTCTGGAGACCATTACTCAAGATGCCAATTAGATTGTGCTGTAGCATTGAGACAAGCATCCCCAAAAGGCTTTACTTGGAGTTTGTTTGTAGGGGTCAGGAGAATGAGACATTTGGAGGAGTCTGAATCAAGATAACATGGGAATATTCTCTACAGGGGACAATTAACCATGAGGAAAAACAATTCCTAAAGTCCCTGGATTGCTTTTCATTCTGGATCTCACTAGTCCCTCTCTAGCCCCTTTCCATTCAACTCTTTTGAGAGGACAGTCTGAGAAATAACTAGCCTCCCTTGCCCACAGGCCATTTTTGAGGGCTTTCTGTGTGCCATATCATGGAAAGGAGTCCAAGAACAGAGGCAGGTAATTCTCACTCTAGTTGTTGATCATACTCCAATTTCATAGACTATCTTAATATGATATGTCAAGAGAGTTCAAATACAGAAGTTAAAAAGAAAAAGAAAATGGCCTATTTCTATAACTCTTCCTTCATAGGACTTACAGATACAACAAATGTATCAAATTGTTTGAATTTTGTATTAATAAACACTCTTCAAATGAAAGTGACATAAAACAAAACTTATACAATCTTAAGGGAGGGGTCTGATATCACTGCAAGGAATGGGGTGAAACTGATCACAGAATCAGCTAGATCCAGTAACTTTAATATCAGTGCTTTCTTTTTCCAGCTTGGCTTAAATTTCTGTGTTGATCTCATTTTCTCGGACATTGTTATGTGAAAGTTCACGACACTTCAGGAAACCCTAATGCAATACAATATTTTGAAATCCATTATTCCTCCACCCTCAAGTTAAAAAGGAAGAAATCTGTTCAACAGGGCTATCGCCTGGTGGTACTCCTTGAAACAATCATTGTGTCATTGCTGTATTAAACTGGGTCATAAGGAAAATCTCTTTAAAGAAGTGACACTTAAGCTAAGATCCCTAAATTGAGGTAAGTATTATCCAGGTAAGAGAAGGCAAAGAGAGCTCCAGATGAAAGCAAAGCCATGAAAAAACCATCTGTGAGCTTTAAGTTTTCTCAAAAACTAAAAAGAGAAGTATCCCATGACCAGCAATCCCTCTACTCGGTATTTCTCCAAAGAAAAGGAAATCGGTATATCAAGGGGATACCCACAACTCCATGCTTATGGCAGCACTATTCACAACAGACAAAATATGAAATCAAGCCAAGTACCCACCAATGGATGAATGGATTTCTGAAATGTGGTATATATGCACAGTGGAATAATATTCAGCCATAAGAAAGAATGAAATCTTGTCATTTGCAATGTGGATGAAAACGGAGGTCATTATGCTAAGTGACATAAGCCAAGCACAGAAAGACAAATATAGCATGTTTTCATTAATATGCAAGAACTTTAAAATAAAGTGGATCTCATGATGATATAATGTAGATTGATAGTTACCAGAGGTTGCAAATTGGATGGGGGGGGGATGAAGTGAAGTTGATTAATGGGACAAATATTCAGTTAGATAGAAGACATAAGACCTATAGTTAAACATAATGCATTGTACATTTCAAAGTAGTTAGAAGAGAATAATTTGAATGTTTGTAGCATAAAGAAAATATCAATATTTAAGATGATAGATATCACAATTA